AAGGTGGAGCCCGTGCCCCAGAGGCAGAGGTGGTTCTAGAGGCCAGAGACTAACAGAGCTGGTAAGTGCTGTCTTGGTTGCCTAGAACACCCTGCAGGCTGAGGCCAAGCCCGAGGACAGGGGAGAGTTGGTGAGAAAATTCTAAACTCGGCCCAAATCTGGGGCTGAAAAGAATGGGCCCACCCACTGCCGCCACTATGAGCCCTGGGAGCCCTTGCTGTTAGTGAACTGCATGTGACATGGACCATGATACCGGACTATGCAGCCAGTCAGGGTGGTCACCCAACCCCTGGGTCAGAAATGGTGGAAAGACTGTCCTTGGAGTCCTCACCTTCAGTTGGGGTCTCCCAAAAGCCAAGTTTTCAGTTGCCCCGTGTCTGATGGTAGTGTCCTACCCCTTTAAGCTGTCTCCCTACACTCCGCCCCTGGAGACCCGTGTTGCCAAGGCCGGGGTAAACTGGCTTTTGAGTCACTCAGCAGAGGCCCTGCCAGGAGCCCAGCCCAAGTAAACAGCTCTCCATCTCCCACTGCCCTGTCTCGTCATTTCCCTGGGTCACTGCCTCTCTGTTGTAAAGTCACCCAGCTTAGAGCTGAGCAGAGCCAGGGAGACAGGCTGCCTGCGCCTTCTGTTCAAGCTACCTGGACGAAAGTCCTAGCTGTGCAGGGGACTGGTTTCATGGAGCTCAGTGCCTGTGTTTATAAATATCATTTTAACACCATCACTTGATCCTGCATCTTTGGCCTGGCTTCTCCAGCCCAAACAAGCAACGAGGAGAAAAAGACAGGCCTGACTGAGGCCACCATAGCCTCCTGATTGCCAAGCAGCAGAAAAGCAATAAACAGCTGGAACTTGACCACTGTACCAAGTGAAGTTCTGACCTGCCCATCCCATGACAAACTTTTTTTTTAAGTGCGGCAAAATACAAATACATTTTACATTAATCTTAACCTTTAAAACAAAGCAAAATCTGTTTAACGGAGGAAAGGAAGACTGGATCTTTCATAGCCTCCATCTGACTAGGTGGCAGGTGGAAACAGTCAAGGTTCAGGCTGAGAGGAGGGTGGGGAGGAGCAGGATGGTTAGGAAATGAGGGTGCCAACCCTGGCTGCTATACGAATGTAGTATAGTTGGCCCTCACATCTGTGGGTTCCATATCCGAGATTTCCCCCAACTTCAGGTAGAAAATATTCAGAAGAAAAACATTCCAGGAAGTCTCCCAAAGCAAAACAAATTTGCTACATGCTGGCAACCATTTACATGGCACTTACACTGTATTAGGTATTACAGGTAATCTAGAGATGATTTAAAGTATATGAGAGGATTGTGTGGATGATAAATATGACGCCATTTTACATAAGGGAATGAGCATCCTCGGATTTTGGAATCACGGGGCGGGTGGTGGTGGTGTTGGCTGGAACCAACCATCCACACATAGGGAGGGATGACTATATCTCATCTTCAGAGAAAAGAAGAAAGAGTCTCAGAGGGGGGTGCCAGTTACATGACTGTTACCAGTTAGAGCTGGTTGTAAAGTGATGGAACTAGGATTCAAATCCTGGTCTGACTCTAAAGCCCGTGCTGTGGTCTCCACAGTCCACTCTTCTGGGGAAAGAGGTCCTGGTTATAGGATGTAGCACTTGGTAGCCAGCTGGAATGCTTCAGGTGCAAACACATGGAAAGTGACTGTTCATACTTCTAAGCCTGGAAGATGGTCAAGCTTCATGTCCACTCACAAGTAAGCAGGATGAGGAAGGGGTCAGCGGGACTAGGGAGGGGACTTCCTGAGGCCCCATCATGTGCTCTCCTCATCACACCACACTTCCCACTCAGTTCTGAACCTCCATGCCCATTCCCTTAACAGCCAGATGGGCAGTTTTCCATCTCCTTTTTTATTGAAATATAAAAAGTGCAAAGGTGAAATACATGATTGGTGCCAAGGAAGTCATTAAGTGTGAATGTGAACACTTGATTCACAGTACAAGCCCCCCACCCCCCAGGTAAAGACCAGTGTGGGAGGGGACAGGAGAGGGACCAAATAGATCCACGAGGCTCCCCAGTCAGTGGGGCATGAGCAACACCTGATATACAAAGGAAGGCAGAAAGCAGAAGCCTGGGCTTGGCAGAGACACAGGGACTGACAAGGAACCAGCAGCCACTGGAGGCCCTGGGAGTCCTGACATGCTAGTGTCCTGGGGAGAGCCCAGTGAGGTCAGGGCCCAGGCCACACCCAGCTCACAGATGGGACAGGACTGGTCATTGAGGATCCCCATGGAACAGGCTTGGCCAAGGCTGCAGAAAAGGGGTTCCCCAGGAAGGGACACAGGTGGAAAGAGGGATATCCCTCATCATCGGGGTCCAGGGAGGAGGTTGCTAGAACTTACCTGGCAGAGGCCGATCTAATTAGCAGTCTCTGCCCGGCCCCTCCAGGAGTCCACAGCTGGAGGAAGGAGCTACCACAGATCCTGAGGCACTGAGTCATCCCTGGCCAGGGCAGGGACTCCACAAGAGACATGGCTAAGGATCTGTACAAGTGGGAAGGGCGGCGGGGGGCAAGGCATGAGGGGCAGGGCGGGGCGGGGGGTCTGCTTGTCACTGGTCTGACCAGACACTAGGGGGCTCTCAGGGGTGGGAATGGGGTGTCTATTTTGAATGGATGCTGGGTCTCAGCCCTATCATCCAAGCTGCCAGTCCTGGTAGAACCAGAGGGTTAGGACACCCTGGGGGCAGTACCACTTGGGAAAGGCTGACCCAGGATGTGTGGAAGAGAAGGCAGACATAGGAAGCCGACTCCAGCCTGCCGTTCACTAGCTGTGGAAGTACCCAAGGCTGAGCTGTCAGCAGGGAGGGCAGGAGCAGGGTGCTGGCAACCAGGCCTTCACCCAGACAGGGAGGAGCCTCAGCAGGGCCAGCCCAGGCCCACACAGCCTTCCATTCCCCAGCAGTCAGGAAGGGGAGGACCAGCCCCAGCTACCAGCCCAGCCGGCAGTGATTTTGGCATCTCCAGTTACCAGGGAAAGAGGCAGGAGAAAGCAGGTTGCTGGGGCCCATCCTCCTGCCTGAAAAGCCAAGGCCAGCTCTGCAGAGCCCAGCAGGAGCCAGGTATCCAAGGAGGCAGTGAGAAGTATAAGGCGAAGAAAAACGTCTTGTGGTGACAGCAAGGCCTCCAGGGCTGGTGAGGTGGGCTGGACAGAAGGAGGGGTCGAGTCAGCTAGTTGGCTGGCTCTAGTTTCTATCTCTAGATGGGGGAGCCTCATGGCCCCTTCCTGGGCAGGAGCCCCGGGCTCCTGTAAGGCTGAAGCCAGGAGGAAGAGTCCAAACTGGGGCTATAGGAGAAGGGGGTGGGTGGGGCAAGGGCTGGGCTCAGAGCCCCTTGGAGTCAGGAAACAATTCCCCTTGATGATCCAGGAGAAACTTGGTGAAGGTGTTGATGGGATTGATGGCCTTGAGGGTGATGGCAGCATCCTTGGCCCAGAGCAGGTTAGGGCCGAAGACAACAGCCAGGTTAGTGTTGGTCATCTTGTTCTGGTCACAGAGGGCAGAAATCTGTGGAGGGAATCAGGGGGCTGCAGCAGGAAGCCATAGACCCTGCTTCCCATGCCCAGCAACCACGCCCAGGAGCAGCAGCCGTGGAGGCTCCTCCCCCCTCTCTGCAGGTAAGTGGTAGAGGCCGAGGTCTCACCTGCACCAGGAAGGCAGTGAGGAAACGAAGCACCAGGTAGTTCTCCTCAGGCAGCGTCTGGAAGACCTGCAGTGTCGCCTCCACTCTCTGGCTCTCATCAATGTCTATGAGGAATGGGGGCCCAGGTCACAGGAGCCTGAGGCTGGGGTGGTTCAGGAAGCCCTGAAGTCAGGCTAGAAGGGAGACCCCAACCAGACTTT